CTCTCTCTCTCTCTCTCTCTCTCTCTCTCTCTCTCTCTCTGGGAAACCGCACGGAACACCCAATATGCGGTAAATTGTCTCTGACAACTGGTTCTCTAACACCTGCCAGCGTGGCGAGCGATAATTAAATTTGCCGGCCGAATTAATTCCAGCGTTAGCCGTGTAGCTTCTGAGAGAGTCAACTTGCTGATTACACGGATTAAATATCGTGGCTCGCGACACCGAAACGAACGGAGGATTTTACACGAGGCGGGCAGTGAAAGGGAATTATTGCTCGTGATGGATAGGCGAGTAAACTTTAAAATCGTTCCGCTTTCAACGAGATGTAGCTTCGATATGGAAAATTACAAACGGAATTAAACATTTGAATATACCTATATCTTCTTACCTGTTGTTCTAACTACGAACAAAAGTTATTTCAAACAGTTCGAGATTATTAAATAATAAATAAAGAATACATTAATACCGCTTCAATTTCGCATCATTATTCTTATATTTCAGAAGTTTGAAAAAAATCTAAAAGAATGAGTCATTATGTTCATTTAAAATTATTTAGAAATGTAAGAGTATGTATTATACTCTCTTGTTGAATTCTGAAAAAGAATAACATATTAAATATAGTTTTTGAGTCACTCTCATGTCTATTAGCGAAAGATATTGGAAAATTTCATATTTCACTTAGTATTTTTACTATTTAATTTTTATTTCGATTATCACACGTTGAGAATTGTAGTTACTTTATACTTACACATAGTCTTCTGTCATGTAATATCCAGGAAATCCAGTTCTAGCAATGTTTCGAGGTTAACACGAAGCCCTTCTTAAATCTCGCTAACAACTTAGTTCTAAAATAAGCATGGTACCGGGCATCAGCGCCCGGCCAGTCGGAGAAATTCTAGCGAAAAAAATAATAGGGTAGCCGGGTTGTGAAAGGGCGTGCCGCGGAGCGTTAAAGGCTGTCATTACTCATAATTAGCGGCGAATCGCCGGGGCTTTTACACGGATGAAGGCCTTCTGAAACGACGTATTCGTGACGGACGGTTGTTACAATAGATGGGCAGACAGCCGTGGTATTATCGAACCAACCTGCGTATTCAGTATGCCAAAGCTCTGAGCGTGGGGAAAAATTGTCTGGCAGCCAACTTTGAAAATTGTTTCCTGTATCATCGAATCCTGTGCTTTTTTGCACAGTAATTAAGTTTTAGAAGGAATTAATAAGCTCGATTTCTCGTTGATATTATTTTAAATCTGTGTACTTTGAAATACGAGAAAATTAGGCTAATCACTTTTACTAACCACTATTGTTTCTAACGAATTTGCTAATCTTTAACTTAAGAAAGATCTGATTCAATTGGTATGATTTAAAAGGGTTTAAAAAAATTTTCTCTAAAATGCATGTTTATTATTGAAAATAATTATAAAATTTCAGTAATAAGAATCGAATCGAATAATCAGGTAAATTTTCGTATAAATATAGTTCATATAAACGGAATTCCACTGCGAATAAAAGAAATATATTTGTTTAATTAGATTAATTATTCATAAAAAAGTATATCGAAATAATCAACAATTATCATGCATTGTAATGATATTAAATATCAGCAAAAAAAAAAAAAAAGAAAAGATCTTAAAAGAAATAAAATACCATTGACATTGTGAAACGATATAACGCTCAAATTGTACATACACAAAGGGAGGTTTAAAGAAAGCAAAGAAAAAGAAGAGGGTAAAATTACAGAGTGGAATTGAAAGACGAATACGGCGGTAAATAGTGAAGGATTCGCGAAAGAAAACCTGGATCTGATGGAGAGCATCAGAAGCTTCCGTATTGCAAGGGTATCGGTAACAATCCCTCGTTAAATGAGAGATTCCCGACAAAGGAGTAGCGCGACTCGGTAGTAATAACTTTTCCGTGTCGCTCTTATCATTTCTCGCTGGTTTCGCGCCGCTTTGCCATACAAATGCCATGTAAATGAATGCAAATTAATCGTTCCAGATCTAGCCGCCTCCCTCCCTCCGCCACCATCTTGAAAATTTTCTTTCGGGATCACAAAGCCGTCCGTCCACTCCAAGCCGGTCGTTCCTCCCATCTTCGTACCGGTTTTTTCCCTTCCCTCTCCCTCTCTCTCTCTCTCGTCCGTGAAAATCCACCCGCAAATAAACGAGTCACGCCCAGCCATTTAACGAGAGGAACGAGGGCAGGAACAGCGCGAGTTGCGGTATTCATTAAAAGCCACGGAACAAAATGAAGACGGTAAATTGGACTTCGTGGCAAAGAAGCGAAGAAGTAGGAAGATGGAAAGGCAAAAGAAAGAAAAAAGAAAAAAGAGGGAGGAAAAAAAGTAAAGCGAGAGAGAGAGAGAGAAGAGAAAGATGCCTTTCCAATTCTTAATTCTACGGAATACGGTATCCGCCGTTTAATTCCCCTTTTATCAACCGTAGGAAACCGGGTTCACCGCCGAGTTTAATGAAGCTGCCTCTGCCGCGAGAGATCAACCGAGAAAGATCCGCAACTCCGTGTCGTGCGATATATTCGGGATCGGTATTACTACAAGCTTTAACGTAACGTGATTCAGAAGCGTTATCACCGTGTTTTCGGGCCTGGAGAAGGAGGAGGAGGAATGCGTGGAGAATGGGTGGAGAAAGGTTTTTGACAAAGGTTAGCGGGCGAAACAAAGAGGGCGATTTCTAAAGGCGCTTCGTTACCTCGACAACGACGTCAACCACCGTCGACGTCGTCCGCGAAAGGCCTGTAACAAAGGATGCCGACATCCACAAAGAGGAATATTATTCCTGCCGGGCGTAATCCCTACGGGAGAGAGTGCGAATATTTATTACGCGGGCCACGCGCTTAAAACGCGGCCGGGCTAAAGTGAAAACAATGGCGGATTTTCTGCAAACTGACTGCCCGGTCTCGGTTGGTACGCGCTGCCTGCCCTGATTTAGAACCTGTGTTTTCCTTCCTCTTTCCCTTCTTCCTTTTTATTATCCGTCCATCCGTCTCTTTCCTTCCTCTTCCCTTCGTTCCGTCATCTCGCCCTTCACGCGGAAAAAGGTTTTCCACACCGGTGAGA